CTAGGTCGAGTCCTTCCGATTTCTTCTACTCCAGCCAGGCTGATTAATGATTCTCGGAAGCTTCCAGCGGTTCGGGGACGGGATTAGTCAGGAAAGTGGGAGTTTTTGGACACGACCCAAAGCGGTAAACTCCGACCCCATCGCGGAATCGGTGCACCACTGCCCTGCACTCGGGATGGAGCCCCTGTCGGACATATCATCGGGCCTTTCTTTGCCTTTCTGAACTTTTTTTGTGTGGGCAGTTTCCACGACTCCATTAATTATCTCACAGAATTCATTTTCAGTCGTGGAACTAGAGATCAGGAGTAGCCTGGGCCTGATTATGGTACCTGAGTGGCCCAGGGGCACTGACGACACTCAAAATCGATTGACCTCCACATTACCACATACTTACATGTAGAGACCCAGACTCGAAGATTAGAAGAGATGCCGCTTTTGCGTTCGATGAGCGCGCTTGTGCGTACATCCAAAGCTTTGTGCAAGAGGTTGCCAAGGGCCCAAGGCAGACAACTGAGAAGTCCCGAACAGGTCGTGAGCCGATCATAAGACATAAAGAGACTTCTTCACTATCTGCTGTGGATAAAAAGTAATATACTGGAAGTGTTTGCTGTCAACGCCGGTTCCAAACCCCGTTTACGCCCTGGCAGTCAGTTGGCCCGTCTACTTTGGACCAAAGCCCCAAAGGTGGTCTGCGTCCATCAAAAGGACCCAGGCATGCAACCTTGATGGTTGGAAGGTGGGTGCAGAACCTGAAGGAGTAAGGAGCAAGGAAAATGACCCAAGGGGGAAAAGGACAAAATCAGAGTCCAGAAAAAAAAAAGATGTCAGAGTCCAACAGACTAACAGCATAGTCCAATGCACATGGATCACGGCCTTTGGGATGGATTATGGAGCTGGTGAGATTGAGAAACCTCCGTAATCCGGAAGTAAAAAGTTTTCAAAACCAGGTTTTTGCAAGTATGTACACCGTACAATCGCCGGTAATGAGTGTAGTAGATTATGTATGTACGTATAGATGTATGGGTAACTTACAGTACAAACAGCTTCAGTGCTCACCAGCGGGTGGTCGGCATTGTGGATTGAGCTTTCTTTTTTTCTCTTCTGGGTCTGTCTGTGACAGTTTCGGGATCGGAGGGACGAAACACACAGGCTGGAAGATGGATGAAGCCGTCAAGCCAAGATCTCTCCCAGGAGTTCGCTTGGGCTGGGCTCCATCAAGAACCAAACTGTGTGCAGGTGTTAGCGGCTCCGTCGCATTGCTGCTGGTGGGGACTGGACCCTCTCTTTCTTGCTTTTCTCATCATGATTCAACGCTGCACCCACCAGTACAAGTACAGTCAGTACTCCTCCGTAGCTGGCGTGAGCCCCTATCTGCATCAGAACAGCAGCATCTAGATGCAACCTTCGGCTTGGCGTAGAATTAGCTAGTCTGCACCTAATGACTCGGTCATTGGTAACTACCCCGTCGAGAAAGAACGAATCAATGCCGAGTGCTGCGCTGTGCTGGGTTCATTACGTTCGGAGAGAAGCCACGGAGATAAGAACGGGCTGACATCTAATAATAATAATGACGTCCTCCACCGCCGGTTTTAGTCAGGGCGGTGTCTCAACGTCATCCGTCCAATTTCTCTACTACTGCCTGCCTCAGGCCCCAAGTTCGGTCACTTCTCGGTACCTAGTTGGTTCACCTCACAGTAATAAGATATATTCGGGCGCTTTATAGAGCACGAAATGGTAATGAGTGCAATATATCCAGTACCCGGAACTCAAACACCAGCGCAGAGAAAAGTAAAATTTTGACTCGGAGAAAAATGCAGGTGGGGAGTCAGTCCAAGAAGCCCAGCCACTGTTTTCGAAACGCCAACGCCAGCTATCACCCAAAACACCCAAGACACCATCATCACCACAAACCCATGCCAACACCCAATCCAATCCGAATCCCAAGACTCAGAAACAATATCCGCAAAAGTCCGAACAAGAAGAAAAGAAGGATGAATAACCCCCCATAAAATTCAATCCAAAGGATAGCAGTGAACTACTTCCCATGGATGAGGTGTATGAGACCAGCCGCTTGAAAGAAGAGAAAGTCACACTGTACAGCCTGCCAATCACCCTCTGCTGCGATTAAGAACGCATGTAGTCGTCGAGAAAAAAAAAGAATGGGAGTAGCACCAGGCGAGACAGTTGGAAGGACAGGTCATACATGTATACTGTACAGGCGTCACGTCACGATGGTGAAACTCCATCTCGCGCCAACAGATCGTAACTTTGGCAGGATTGCGGCATGTTCAAGGAACTCATTAGGTAGACGCGACCTCAGGCGGGTTGGCATTTAGAAATTGATTGATGTCTTCGTAATCGCTTTTCGTGTCCATATACGATGAGGTCAACATGCAACTCATGGGAATCTGACGGTTGAACATGGGCGAGGAAACCTGATCATCGAAGGACAGGTTCGTGTAGTCCGAGGCACCTATCAGATCGATATCCTCAAAAGAGCTGAAGTTGTTGCTTGGCCATTGTTGCGGAGTCTGAAGCGCCAAGGGGTTGACCACGCCTTGCATAGACATGGAAGCTGCGAACGCCGGGTTCGAGGGGGCCATCTGCGGTTCGGTCTTGATCGTGGGTCCCTGTGCCCGAGATGCGCTGAAGGTCGTCGGGGTGGGTGGCATTTGATGCGCAAAGGGATCCGAAAATCGAGTGGGAACAGTGGGTGATTGTGCGCTATCGGAGCTTCCATCTGACGAATCTTGGCGTTGCATGTGTCCGGCATTTTGCGTCCACAGCTCTTGCTGCATGGCCTCCGTGTTCTCTTCGAAGCGCTCGCCTTTTGTCTGATCCAGAGCCCCCAGTCGAGTGAGTAAGTCGTGCGTCAGCGGATGGCCGTTTGGTTCGCATTGCAACGGCTCGCCGGGCCAGCCTTCGCCTTCTGTGGCTCGTCGGTACAGCTCCTGAAGTCCATGAACAAGCCATGCTTGTTGCTGTTCGAGCATCTCAACATATCTATCGGGCGAAGAGTCAGTCATTTGTTCGAACACGACTAAATCCATAGTAAAAGCTCAATGCCAAGGAACGCGCTCACCCCTTGGGGTACACTTTATCGTGGGCCTTCTTCCGCTCGCCAAATACACAGATGGCATTGTCCGTCCTACACCGACCACATGGGTTGGCTCCGTCACACTGCACCGGGTCAGTGCATCAGGCCGAAGCTGATGCGTCGAGCCATGGCTTTAGCTTACCTTGGATTTCTTCAGTCTACACCGATCGCAGGCCTTGCAAACCCTCTTGCGGACGTTGCCGTCCGAATGTGAGTGGTCTGAAGTCGGTGACGATTGGCGCGCTGTCATTGTGTGTGTATGTGTATATAGATATATATGGGAGTGGTGTATGTATGTATAAATATATGTATGTATATGGTGATTATAGATTATTCGGCGGAGCTTGTCGAATGGCAAAGCGCAGGAAGGAGAGAAAGGTGGAAGAGGTAGGTAAAGATAGAAGAAAGAGGGGGAGAAGCAGAAGAGAGATGATGATGATAGCGGCGCCAGGGACCGGAGGTGGGGTCTTGTAGTCAAGTGAGTAGAATGTCGTTTGCTTTATCTTCTCCTCCTGTGAGAAACTGCTGCAGCGGAATGTTGTAATGATCCAAGTATCGACGGGGGAGTTGGTTAAGGTTGATCGATGATATAACGATCTTGGGGCAGGAAAGGTAAAACCGATGGAATCACTTCTATCTCAAGCTTCTCGGCCAATGTAAGGCACATGAGTCGATGGAACGCCGAGTGAATCAGTTGGATCGATCCAGAAGACTGGGTAGGGTTGCAATGACCCAGAGTCGGGAGAGTTCAGGTTGATCGGGATAGGGTTAGCTGGTATATAGTTGGTAGTATAGGATACTACCAGTATTCGAAGGAGAGAATCCGCGCGGAAGAGAATGAGCTCGGGATTAAAAGTCAAGAGAGCTAGAGGTAGAAGGGACTTTAAGAGCTCTTTTAGAATTTAAGAGTAAGAGAAGAGAGGGGGGGTGGGATGGGAGGGCAGTTATGGAAGAATTATCATTATTATATTGATTTGAAATGGTCTAGTCGCATCTCAGTAATCAAGAAAGTCGAAGGATGTTCCAGCACGGGTCATCCGTAGTTTACAGTTTCAAATTTACAGGAAGCGGCCGTAACGACCGAACCTGATGAGCCCAAAACCGCGCCCATCAATTAACTCCTTGGTGGAGATTTCCGCATCAATACAGTTAGTGATTACAACTTACATTTTATCCAGATTGAATAACCTTGCTGAATATTACCACAGAATCAGTACCTTCACGAGATAGATTGGGCTGATGGGAGCAAATTAGGCTAACATTATCTAGTCCTCCCTTCCCAATGCTTCTCTTCTTCTGCCGAATATTTGGGTCATTCGATCTAGCTGCGCCTCTGAGGAGGAGTGTCGCTGAACTGTAAGGCCGAGTATCCGTGGGATGTAACTGCAATGAATCGTGCATTCATACAATCATACGTTGATACAGTCATACATACCTATACTATTGATACGTCACTCGTGGGTATTCTTACCTGATACGAATCACGGATAACGGAACGGGAGCTGAGCAAGAGAAAACCCGCGGCAGAGAGGCTGATTACCTGAATCGGTGTGTCGCGGGCCTAGCCTCGGACCCCGGGGTTGAAAAATCCCTTTTTGGGGGGGGGTGAGGAAAGTTCAGGTCAGTTGAGGTTGAGTAGTTACTTCATCCCGAATCCAGTACTGTACATGATCACTACACTACGCTACACTGGTTCCATCTTCCGTCCCGCCGGGAGGTCTCATCATCCACTGCAAATGAAGTCAATCGATACCGTTCTGGTGGATCAATTGGAAAATCATTGATTGCACTGGAAGCCGTATATCCGATGGTTGTACTATGCGGATCCGGAAATAGGTGACAGTAGCAAATGGGTGTTTAGTGTCTAGCATAGTCTAGATGTAGAAGTTTTCTCTAGGAAAGTTCTCGGCGTGATTGAGGCCAGGCCCAGGAAACAATCTTGCTTGTCTGTGAACGTGGGTGGCTGTCACCATGACAGTAACTCAAGGCAATCGAGGCAATCGACAGGAATCATTATTATTACCGCAAAGAGATGAATGAATGAGAATGACATCTCGCTCTTGCATAAGCTCGGCATTACGGCACAACAACCGTTCTTAGTGCAGAGCCCACCTGGGCAGTTCTCGGCAAAGTCATGCCGAACAAGAGCAAGAAACCGGGAGCTTCGACAATACTGGCTGGCTGCCAAGATCAGCGATCTGAAATCACTCATCTCCATTCAAGAATCGAATAATCATTTTCACTAACAAGTAAGAAAAATAACTGCATACTGTACACTGTACACTGTACACTGTACCTACAAGGCTCGGTTGAAGTGTGGCCCTGATTAACTATCCTCCGGAAAGGCTTAACCCAGCAGCCTGCTTTCTGTTCCAATCGGCATAGTACTGTATTTGAGTAAACTACCACATATTGCCACCAGCTACAGTACTACCAAGTTACCGGGAGAAGAGGAACAAGAACAGTATCAAATCTATCGAATCTATCGATAAGCTTTGATGATTTCAGACTGTCGTTTGCTGATCGGCGTTTTGTTCTGCCATTTCCTTTCCAGTCCGATCGGTTCGCTTTCTTTCTCCGAGGAGAGGGGGAGGGGGGAAGGAGAGAAAATGCTCCAGTTGAGCTCCTCCCCCAGCTACCACCCATGAAATGAATGAGCCCATCCAGTCAATGACGTTAGCATGCCTTAGTTGAGTCGATATCAGGTCACCCACGCTGGATTGACCCTGCCACTCGCGCCCCAATTGGCTTTCACCCCCTCAGAGTATCCATATCTTGGTACAATCAAGGTTGCTTGGTGTTCGCAGCTGTGCGAAGAAAGCAAAGGAAAATACTCGTAAAATGCGAATCTGAGATAGTGTCGGAAATTGACTTTCGTGGTTACGCCACTATTGATGCCTCGTTGATTGTACACTATAGTCGTAGTTAGGACTATGTACTCAGCAATAATACTACTATAGATTAACTTTTCCCAGCCTGGCAATCATCCAAGGACCTTGGTCAAACCCCTCCCTTTCTCCCTGCCCCGCCTCATCTTTTCTACCTTTATGCTTCTCCTCGATTCTTCCCGCGTCTTGTTGATCATCTTCCCTAGTTTTACCCGGTCCATGCCTCAAGCTCTCTAGAACGGGCAAGTTCGACATGGTACAGTTGCGATCTTCCATTGATCATTTCCCCGGGAGTTCCGCACCACGAGGGATCGACAGACCGGGGAACGGGTGATGGCTCGAATCGCCGACGAACTACTCGGTACTATGTAAAGAAATTAAATGTACCGTACCCTCAACGCAAGGTCTCCCCTGCCTGCAGTCACGCAATGAGAATTATAAATATTATAAATTGACCCGGTTTTACCTGCGAGGTCTAGAACCAGCCCCATGCAGCGTGGGTGCTTCAAACCATAGCGTCATCCCGCGTTCCTTTTCCGACGGGTCCCACTCACTCAATTCCCCTCCATGGAAGGAGAGAGACGGACGTGTTCTACGATGAAGAGACCTTAGGGAAGCGAACATGCCCGTACGGGATGCCGTATCTCAGCCGGATAAGCGTATGCACAAACACTGGCTGCTCTGGCTGATATGTCATCACAGGCCGGCGATAAGATATGACTTCTGTTCGGTTTCACAATCTGGACTCGCCCATGACCTCATGCTGCCAGGGTGTTTGCCAATCCACCGCAGTCATGCTGCCACAATTATTCGATGAACCGCATGTTGTTCATCTCATCATGAACTAAGAAGAAACCTTATTATCTAAATCAGTGACGGTGGGAGAAGGTCCTCGAAGGGCTGGAACAATTTGTATTCTTCAATCAACAGCTTTTGTGGTATCAACGTGTGAGACAGGAGGGTATGTAAACATAAGACACGCATTGGAACGCAAACCGGGAATGCAGACCCCGGGACCCGCACAGCCCGGCCAGACCAGAATCAAAAGCACCACACTCGTCGCCAGGTTCTGGCTGCCGGACAATTTTGCTGCTTCTCTCGATGTGATGGCGTGGGAGGATCGGACTTGCCATAACGATACCTGTCAGCCTGTTGTTGACGGACTCGTTTCCTTTCCCGGAGCCAACTAAAGCCTCGCTGCCGGGGTGCTACGTGCTTAGAGGGCAGTTCCACGGAGGGCGAATGGACGATCGTGCTAGCCGTGGAGTTCAATTCTGGAACCCAGCCGCTGCCATGAGCCGGCTCTGGGATCAAGGCCGCCGGTTGGTAAAAGGCCTGGCGCGCCTCGACCACTCGGCGGATTAACACTGATGAGATGTTAGCATTTGGACGTCTAGATCGAGTGGAACGAGTGCTTGCAGGAAAATGTCTCCTCTATATTGACCATCTCACGAGCGCTGGTTTCCATAAAGCCGCACCCATGCCTGCGGGCATACTCCAAGCCCTGAGGAGCCCCGATCACTCGATTCTCTTTCAAATCGCACTTATTACCAGCTACGATCTTGACGGGCGGCGGCATGCCCGCCCGAAGACCCGCCGCACTGTCTCCCAGTTCTTGTCGCAGGCGGTGATTCTGTTCGGCTCGCTGTTCAGTCTCGATCTCAATCATAGCCATGAAGTAATCGAGGGCGTGCAAGCTGTGTTTATTGGTAATATCATAGACCAGCAAGAAAGCATCTGATTTCAGGTTGGATGCCGTCCATAGTCCGCGGTATTCCTCCTGGCCCGCCGTATCGGTGATAGACAAGAAGTAAGGCACTCCATCCACGACGCGCGTGACGGAATAGGAATCCTCTGCAGTTGCCCTTGCATGTTAGTGACCGCTCAAGTGATTGTCGGAAATGGTGCGGTGGGGGAGAGAGCGTTACCGATTGTAGGATCGTACCTGGCGCCGCGCAGCGGATTAGTTTTATGTTGTGCAAGCCGACGACCGGACACTTACTCATGAGTCCACTGGCCGCGCACTAGTCTGAGAGTGATTGAAGACTTGCCTACAGTACGACCAGCCCCGATTAGTGATGCGAACGCGCATTGAATTGTATTGTGTTTATGGGGAGAACCATGCGCATGTGAAACGGGGCAGCGCAAGAGCTACCTCCGCATTTTATCGCCCCATCCACCTCTGCATAGTCTGTGATTCGATGGCACGTACCGCATCCACCATCTCCACAGATCGTGATGGAGATTTTCTCCGGAGAGTCCGGCATTGGTATCACTAGAAAAGAAATCGGGCGGTGGGGGGGGGGGGGGGGGTAGGCGAAGTAGGAAGTTTTGAGAAATGATAGTAAGCTCGTACAATCAACTGTGAGCAAGCGGGATGATATGGTGACGACTGACGAGATTGCGAAGCCATGGAAGAAAATTGGAGGAGGGAGAAAGGAGATATAAAATAAGTGATCGACCGACTCAGTGGGCCGAGTGAAACGTTCAGCAGGAACCCAGGCACAGGATCAAGATCCGGTCGGGTCGGGGTGGGTTGGATCCTTGAACCAGGCCAGGCCAGGCACAGGCACAGGCACAAGAGGGATCAACCAGGAATGCAATCGACTACTTTTTACACAGTTCAATCAAACAGCAAACTAGTGCTGGGTTTTACTAGTGAAATGATTTGCTTCCACGAGGAAGGAGGGGGGAGGGGGGGATCAAGGCGAGGGTAGTCAAGGTACATGAATATCCCTTCATAATGGGCATGGAATGGAGGATGCGAGTAGAGGGAGTAAAGGGGGTCGGGAAGGAACAACAGGAAGGATAATAATACTTGTAGATGGAGTAGTTAGTTAGATGGCATTATGAAGGAATCTGGTAGGGAGTAAGTAACTAGGCCCCTAGGGAGTAGTCCCCCCTTGGGTAACTACTAGCAATGCCGCAGTGATTGATTGATAAGGAGGGAAGTGAGTGAATGAGTGAGTGAGCGAGTGACGCAACAAAGAAACAATGGGATTGATGATTATATGACAATTGAATGGTGACGGATCTCATGATGGGACAGGGCCTGTTGATCTTATTTACTTTGACAGAGTACTCCGTAGGACTTGGTACTTGGTACTTTTTGTCTGGATGATGCATCGTCATCGGGTTGGGTTTGGTTGGGGCTTATCTTACTCCGGACTTAGCCTGTCAAAAATGTCAATGCGAGTGTGCTTGCAGTTCGTACTTCGTAGTGTCATTCGAAGGGGAAATCCGTCCGTGTCCACCTGCAGCACTACCAACCAGTCCGTAATTGATTGCACAGAAGATAACTACTAGGTACTCCGGAGTAGACGCTTGCCTCTCCCCCTCCGGAGGGTGAGGTGGATGCATCAGAATTGATACATCAACTGTTGAGGTTAACTTATGTCCAGTGGAGGAGGGTCCATCCACCAGTTGCCTCCCACCGCCTTCCTTCCCATCCAGCAGCAGCTGCGTGTGCGAACCCGACTTTCCCACTTCGGTCTCGTGTTTCTCTCTCTCCCCACCTCTCACCTCTCACCTCCTTCCCCTCTTGTCTTCCTCGCCTGCAGCCTCAATCTTCGCCGCTTCTTCACTCACAACTGAAAAAGAAAAAGAAAGAAAAAAAAGTCCCAGCCACTGCTCACTCAAATTGGAGAGGGGCACATCAACGACTATTTCATTGTGGGCATCGTCATGCGAGATGTCGACTAGGCTGCCAGTCAACGTCGACAATATTTCTTTTTTGCCCCTCCTCTTTCCCGACTCAATCTTAGCGCAGACGCTCGCCCTGTGCCTCGTTTACCAATAATAATATAGATCATTTCGCGTTCTCTCGCTCGGGGTCTCTTGTCTCCCTCTCTTCTCTCGAGAGAGAAACCCGCGAGGGCTGGCGGTCGACTTCTTATATTAAAGGCTCCCCAAAAAAAGAACATGGGTTGACCACTCACCGTGTCTCCTACCTTGTCTCCCCCGGTCCATTAGTATTAGTATTATTTTGATTATTTGATTATTTTGATTCTCGATTCTCGATTCTCGATTCCTCTGCTTCTTCTTCTTCTTCTTCTTCTTCTTCTTCCCTTTCCTCCCCCACTCTTGTCTCTCTCTTCTCGACCTCACCTAGTCCTTTCTCCTCTTTTCTCTTCTTCTTCGCCCTCTCCTCCTCCCGTCCTCCTCTCTCTTTCTGCACAGTCCATCTATCTCTATACTACCTGACCTTGTCTTACATGGGGTCTTTTTGAGTCCGGACCGACCTTGTTTGTCCTTTCCTGCGCAGTGCCGCGGCTTCGATGCGACTTCCCCATTGGCCTGCCGCCTGATCTCGAATCGATCGGACGTGGTCCGTCGACCGCTTGAGTCGGCCTGACCCTCCCTCAGGCTCCTTACCACCGCCAACCCCCCC